GGAGGGCAAGGATCAGTCTCTGCTACCTCTCCCAACCTGGGTTTCCAGGTGCAATGCCAACTCAGCAGTCTCTCTATAGGAATCTTCCAGAGGAAGCCAGACAAACCACCTGAGTAGCAGTACAGATTTTTTACTAAATTCTTCCAAGGCGAGGGGGTGGGCGGGATTCCTTATCTTTGCCTACCAGTTATCATTTTGTTTTGTTTTGTTTGTACTGGAGGTTGAATTTGGGGGCACCTACTCCCTGAGCTACGTGCCCAGTCCTTTGTCTATTTTGTTTTGAAACAGGTTCTTGCTCAGTTGCTGAGGCTGACCTCAATTTGCAATCCTCCTGCCTCAGCCTCCCGAGTTGCTGGAATTACAGGGGTGCACTGCAGTGTCTGGTTCCAGGATTAGCTTTTTATTTTGTTTTCCTGGAAAGGGACTAATTCAAATTACATATCCATTGGTCAAAAATCAAGATATTTTGGAGAAATCCAGCTCTGGTTCCTTCCATCTTCCACTCCCCTGGTACTCACACAAGGCCCCATCAAGAACTCCATTAAATGCCTCCTCCATGTACTTGCTGTGAAGCTTCTGAGGCCACCATTAGGAACTCATTCCTTTGGGCCAAGCATTGCTGTCCCCAGCTGCCTCTTGATATGCCAGTCCTGTCGATCAGAGATAAAAGAGTATGGAGTCTTTCCTGCCTAGGCTTCTTCCTCTCTTTGGAATTCCTGAGCAGCTTTGGGACAGGTGAAACCAGTGGAGGAGAAGGGGACAAGGTCAGAGGAGAGTGATAGCCTGTCTGACCCCAAAAGAACTGGGACACCCAGCTGTCTCACCTCCTCTACCGCAAAGCCGCAGCCACAGCTGCTACATTCAGGAGCAGTGCTGGTAAGTGTGGGTCCAGCAGACGGCAGCCCTGTGACCTCTGGGTTGAGAGTGTCTCCCTTGTTCTCCCCACCCACGCTTCTCAACCTGAGGACCGAAAACCTGGCTTTCTGGTAATTTGCTTTGGGGTTCACTCAGGGACTTAACGCTGCTAGTCAGATGTGAACCCCAAGGACAGCAGGTGGGGAAACCAACATTCCCCAGAAGCCCTCAGGTCAAGGCAACTGATTGACAACGAGGAGGCTATTTTGCATCCATTTCTTGCTCCACAGGGCCTTCCCGTAGCCTTGGGCTTTCTCAGGTGACATTGCTGACCTAGACCAGTGTGACAGATTGGCAGCCTTCTGCAGTACTATTTTCAAATTCATGCAAAAAAAAGTCCCTGCTCTGGACTCCCCAACACTAGGGGAACCAGCCCTGGCCTCCTCTTGCTGCACCCTTCCCACGAGGCAAGGGGTCCTTAGGACCAAGGCGACATAACCACCCAGAGCTCTCTGTCTCCTCTTTAGACCATGCCCCAGAAGCCCAGAACACAGAATCCCCTGAGTTGTCCCTGACCTGCCTGCCTACAGCTATGGCCCTCTTCCCCAGACACTTCTCCTTGAGGGTGGGCCAGGCCACTGGTCTGTGCACCCCAGACCCCAGGTGGCCAAGGGATGGCTATCTGTGGGGGTGGAGATGGGTAGAACCTGGTATTGCAGTCTGATGTGTCCACAAACATGAACTTGAGGCCCAGGAAGAGCCAAGGGAGGGACAGGTAGAGGGGGCACACTGCAGCCTGAGGGCTGTCTCTCCCCTCACAACCTCGTGTCCATAGAAAACGYAGCACCCAAGAGTTCTCAATTCAAAGCTGGCCTTTCAGGTTCAGATGAAGTTATCTTTGCCCAGAGAGAATGTATTTTATTGAGGACTTGGTAAACTTGGTTTATGACATTTAACTATTTAGATAGGATACGTGGCCTCTATCTGTACTCTTGCCCTGGGTCCTGCAAAGGGAAGGCTTGACCCACCCACATACTTTGTTGGTTTGCAGAATATTTTTTAAAATTGGGAGATTTCAGGATGGGGTGCTGTAGTTCAGGGGTACAGTGCCTGCCTAACATGTGTGAGACCTTGGGCTCCATCCCCAGCAACAAATAATAATAATAATAATAATAATAATAATAATAATAATAATAATAATTTGGATATTTCATGTAGAAATTCTGATTTAGATTTTTGTGACAAATTGGAAGAAACAGCAACCGCTATGCCTGAATTCCCACAAGGCCCCATGGAGTGAACTCTACACTCCATCCTCAGGTGGCCACACTCTCCAGCATTCCCTATTGTCCCATGTCCTTTGAGTTCCATGCATCTACCGTGTGTACCTTGGGGCATTTGCATGTGGGTCACCTGGCCTCCAGGAGGAGGCTGGGATGTCAGAACAGCCCAGGTCAAAGTTCTGGAAGTTAAGTCTCTACTCAGTGGCTGCCGCTCCAATTTCCCCGTGTCGAGATGAGGTCAGCATTGGCACTTGCCCTAGCCTCAGCCGTCTGCCGTCTCTACCAGGCTGATCAGAAAGGAGAAGTGGAACTTTCTGGGGTCATTAGAAAGTGGAGAATGAAAGGGGAAGAGGAGCCCCTGCCGGGTGATGGGAACGGTGCACGTGAGCTCTGCATCTCTAGCTGTTCCTGGTGTCATTCAGAAGATGCCCGACACAGGTCATGTGCCTTTGGCGGGGGTTTCTGGGGGAAAATCACGCAGGACAGCAGGGGTGGGAAGAGCACTCTCTGACTGGAAGGAAGCTTGCCCTTGAAAAGCCAGGTCCTGCCAGGGCTAGCTGTCAAGGCAGCTGGGCTCAGAGTTCCAAAGAAAAATAAACTCTGTGCAGTGCACGTGACATCTGGAGTGATGGGCTTCTTTGCTCTGGCCCTTAACAGAGGGGTGGGAAAGAGCCAGACAGAGCATCCACACCAAAAAACCAGGTCCCAAAGGAATGGGATGCGAGAGAACCTCCTCTCCGCACACCCCAGTCCACACTGAGTCTCTGCACTGGGAGAGTGTGCTGTTTTGTTGGGAGACCGAAGGTTAAGATTCCAGATTCAACAATAAGTGCTGGTGAGGGTGTGGGGGAAAGATACGCTGATTCATTGCTGGTGGGACTGGCAAATGGTGCAGCCACGGTGGAACCACAGTATGGAGAAACCTTAGAAAACTTGGAATAGAACCACCCTCTGATCCAGCTATCCCACTCCTAGGGCTATACCCAAAGGACTTAAAATCAGTATACTACAGTGATACAGCCACCTCAATGTTTATAGCAGCTCAATTCACAATAGCTAAACTGTGGAAGCAACCTAGATGCCCTTCAATAGATGAATGGATAAAGAAAGTGTGGTATATAGACATGATGGAATATCACTCAGCATTAAAGAAGAATAAAATCATGGCATTTACTGGTAAATGGATAGAGTTGGAGAATATCATGCTAAGCAAAGTAAGCCAATCCCCCAAAACCAAAGGTCTGATAAGTGGATGCTGATAAGTGGATTTCTCTGATAAGTGGATGCTGATCCATAAGGAGGAGGAGCAAGGGAAGAATGGAGGAACTTTGGAATGAGCAGGGGGGAACGAGGGGCAGGGAGGGGGGGTGGGGAAGATGGTGGAATGAGATGGACGTTATTACCCCTATGCATGGGTATTATTGGACGAATGTTGTGACTCTATATCATGTACAACCAGGAAAATGAAAAGTTGTGCTCCATTTGTGTAAAATATCAATAAAATTTTTAAAAAATGATTCCAGATTCTCCATAGGAAAGAAAGCGAGTGTTTAGGGAAGGTCTTTGGAGCCGTCTCCCAGTCTCTGAATTAAGGGTCTCTGCCCACTCTCCACATCCTGGACATTCATGGGCAGTAGCCTTGTCGGTGGGAGCCTCAGTGACTGCAGCCTGCTTCCAAAGGCCTCCCTGTCAGTCTCCTCCCTTGGCTAGGCCACAAGGAGGCCAGGTGACCACATGCTGAGCGTTTCTTTTTGTTCAGGCCATGGTCTACAGGGTTAATGCAACCGCCCAACACTGGCATCATCCAGAGGTCAGGGAGACACGGGGCAGAGCAGTCTGGAGTTGAGACCTGGCCTCAAACTAGCCAGCAGGCTGAGGAGGCTCTGACCAGGGAAAGGGGCCAGCTCCTTCTTCCCCATCCCCCTAGCATGGCTGCCCCCAGGGAAGGAGCCTGCAGTGACTGTCCTTCCCAAGGGCCAGTGGATGAGATGGGGAGTGGCTACTGAGGCAGAACGGGAAGCCTGGCAAAACGACCCCGGTGGCTTGGTCCCCAGCTGGTCAGCAGAGGCCGTATATGCGGGCAGGCCCCCCCTGGGTCTCTGGGCACTATTGTGGGCGCGTGTGTGGCAGGTGGGCCTGCAGGCTCTCATCCTGGGGGTCTCTGAGCAGGGGAAGAGGAGCATCTTGGCTTCAGATTCTGCCCGAACTAAAGACAATCCTGTTCCCTGAGCCCCTCAAAGTGCACAGGTGCAGCTCTGGGCCTCGTGGAGACGGGCATTTCACAAACTCTTTGTTGGCACTTTCAAAGGGAGGTGGAGGGGGTTCCTGTGACAAGGGTGACCGGCCAGCTTGAGCCTAGGAGCTGCTTTCGGGTTACTCAGATACCTGGCTCTGGGCCTGGCACTCGGCACCCCCAGGACTGGGCCGCATGGACGGGGCTGGCTGGCCGGGGAGTGTGTGAGGGAGACAGTGGGTCCCCCTGGCCTCCATCATCCGGCGGCATCTGGCACAGAGTCTTCTCGTGCTCACAGTTAGAGAATGAGGCCGGGTGTGTTGGGAAGGTTCAGGATTCGGGAAGGCGCGGACAGCAGATGTGGGGAGAGGGTGGAGATGCGCTGAGAGGACCCCCWTCTCCCGGGTAGACTGACCAGACAGAAAAGAAGAGGCATTGGCAGAGTCTCTGGAGCTCTAGGAGGTACTGGAGACCAAGAACAAAGAGAGGGCCCCACCCCCACAGCAGGTGGAGTTTTGAGGGACAGGGTCATAGAGGGACAACTGCCTTGTCCAACTGGTTTCTTTAAAAATATTTATTTAGAAAACTCACCCTCCCCTGCCCGCCTCCCTCCGTGCCTGGGACTCGGGCTTCCTTTTCATCACTGCCTCGGGCCTCCACCCGCTTGGAGGTCCAGCACACACAGGCTGGCTGCCACCTGCTGGGAGGCCTCTCACCCCTCTGTCCTTGTGTCCAGTCCCCGCCTGGGGCTCTGTCACTGGGTCTCCAGGTGGAGAGTTGGCTCTGAGGGACAAGGGCAGCCTCGCCACAGTCCGGGTGTCCCTCCTGAGGCCTGCGGACATCAGGGGTGGGGAGCTGTGCTCTCCCCTGGTCCGGAAGCTCAGGGCTGGAAGCGCGGGGAGCTGACGTGAGGCTGGTGGAAGGCATGGGCGCTGTAGACCACCTCGGGGGGCGAGGGGGTGCCGGTGGCCAGCACCGAGCAAAGGGGCTCGTGGCTGCTCAGCACCGACGTGAAATACTTCATCTCCTCCGTGAGCTGCTTGATCTCCTTGCGCAGAGCTGCGTTCTGCTTCTCCAGGTCCTCACTCTCCTGTGGGGGGAAGGACCAGCGTTAGTGGTCAGGGTCAGGGAAGGCAGGGCTGGCAGGCTGGGGAGGGAGGGGGAGGCCAGATTCGTTTCTCACTAGCACAGCCACAGAGAAGGGCATCAGAGGGCTCTTGTGCATACGTGAGAGTGTGCACACGTGCATGGACGTTTGTGTTWGTGGGTGCACCCGTTTGAGTATGTACGTGTGGACGTGTATACGCATAGATACTGGATGGACCCACTTGACACTGCTGATACTTGTCTATTTTGACTTCTTAAAAACAGCAATTTCACAAAATGAAACCTTAGCCCATTTTCTATTGCTATAATCAAATACCTGAGGATGAGTAATGTATAAAGAACAAAGGATTGTTTTTTCTTTTTCTTTTTTTTTTTTAGCCCACTGTTCTGGAAACTTGAGGACATGATGCCAGTACGCATGTGGCTTTTGGTGTGAGCCCTATGCTGCTCTGTGCAAAGAGGAAAAGTGGACAGGCAAGTGGGTAATGGCAAAGGGACACGTGTAGGGGAGAGAGGGGAATGCTAGTCCTTCTTTATAATAGTCCACACTTGGAAACCAGTCCAATCCCCTGAAAGTAGGAAAAGCGTTGATYCCTCTTAATGACCTAATTCCCTCTTGAAGGCCTCACCACCTCTCAACCCTGTTGTGTTGGAGACCCAAGCTGCACCTGAGCTCAGTGCCCGCACACAGGGTCTCCTGAGCGTCTGTGGGTTGAGTGTGGCAAGTATGTGCCGAGGGGAATTGTGTGGCAGCCYGGATCCTGAGGAAACGCAGAGCAGCTTGTGAGAACATCTTGTACCAATTCACTTCTTTCCATCCCCTTACGCAATATGTTCCCCAAACGTTCCTAGCATTTCCATTCAGTCTTATAAATACACTCCATGGCTAACTGTCTACTTGGCCCAGATTCTGGAACATGAGGGTCTCTGTAAATATTAAAGGGTCCAAGACACCTACCATGTCTCATTCCACTCCTATCTACCCACCAAAGGGTTTTCAGTACACTAGTCTCCTCTTACCCTGAGGGGATATGTTCCAAGATGCTCCTAAAACCTGACATATACTATGTTCAGCACCTACTAGTACTCTACATAGTACCCAACATATTCTGTGCTTTTTTCTATATATACGCACACATGATATGTTTTATTTATAAATTAGTCACAATAAGAGATTAGCAATAATTAATAATAAAAATAGAACGATCATAACAACATACTTTAATGAAAGTTAGTTAAAATGTCTGAATTGTTTATTTCTGGAATTTTCCACTTAATATTTTCAGACCACAGTTGACCGTGGGAAACTAAAACCACAGAGGGTGAAACTTTGTACAAGGGCAATGAGACACTCAGTGTGTCTGAAGCCTGTATAGAAACAAAGTCCTTTGTCCAGAAAAATCTTTTCCCAGTTGCTTGGGGGAACCATCTGATATATGCTAACCAGGAAAGCCCAGGTTAAGGAGCACTGATTCCTGAATACATCATTATTAAGCCAGCAATTGAACTCTGCTAATTAACAATCACTGAGAAACAATCCCACCTTCAGAAAGCCTGAGAATGCATTTCCAAAGTGATTTTGAGGTTCACCTTCTGTGACTGAATCCTGCAGGTCCACTCTGCTAATTAAGACCCCCAAGAAAGGGGGTGTGGCTCTGGAGATACCAATAAATTACATTTCAGTTGAAAARAACAACCTGGTATTTGGTGACCAGGTTTTACTTTTCTAGTTCTAGTTGGTTTAGGTCAGTATTTCCAAAACTTGCCATATCACAATTAATTTGAGGGCTCGATTAAAAAAAAAAAAGCCATAGTTACAATCCTTCCTGAAATCTAGAGACTGGGGTGTTAGTGAGTTKGAGATTTGGAGGGCGGGGGTCTAGAAATCTGAGTTTTCAACAAGKATCCCAGTTCATTCTAATGACCAGGCAAGTTTGAAAACCCTCATTAAATGTGATATTAAATTTGTTTTAAGCTGGGGTTGTGGCTCAGCGGTAGAGTGCYYGCCTAGCATGTGTGAGGCCCTGGGTTCAATCCTCAGTACCACATAAAAATGAATAAATAAAATAAAGGTATTTTGTCCAACTACAACTAAAAAATATTTTAAAAAATTGTTTTAAGTGGCTGGGYRTGGTGGCACACGCCTGTCATCACAGTGGTTTAGGAGGCTGAAACAGGAGGATTGCAAGTTCAAAGCCAGCCTCAGCAAAAGCTAGGCGCTAAGCAACTCAGTGAGACCTTGTCTCTAAGTAAAATACAAAATAGGGCTAGAGATGTGGCTCAGTGGTCGAGTGCCCCTGAGTTCAATCCCCAGTATCCCCCCAAAAAAATTTTTGTTTTAAATATCCAAGCACTTATTAAAAGTGCCCATTTAARTACTTGGCACATCATATGGACTCTAGTGTTTGTTGATTGACTGGCTAACAACATCAATTGCTGGCATGAAGAAGTTGGCTCAGAAATTTGGTGGGCGGTGATCAAATGTAAGATAACTTGACTTTTAAAGTTTGCCCTAAATAACCCATCGAGAGCATGAGAGAGCTAGATGGAATTCGTCAGTTACGCTGCCGATCATCTGGCCCCACATCCCCCAGGGGTTCTTTTTTAAGCCGCAGAGGAGCATACACATGTGGGCTTGCCCATCATCCAAGTTTTTTGTCTGTTTTCGTTTTGGGTTTTTTTTTTTTTTTTGGGGGGGGGTGCTGGGGATTGAACCCAGGGCCTTGTTGGAGCTGGACAAGTGCTCCACCACTGAGCCACAACCCCAGCCCTTTCATCTGTTTTGAAGGACAAATGCAAACACTTTCAGCCTGAGTCTGACAAATCCTGAAGGAGGCTCTTAGCTAGAAAGTGTGCCTGGGTCAGGGCAAGGAAACCCCCCTCTCTAGAATGGAGCAAGGGGACACCAGAAGCTGGCACAGGTCAACCTGTTCCCTGCACCACTGCTGGTTTCCTGGCACATCCCAGAGGCAGGTCATCCCCCCTTTACCGAAAGGTAAGATGAAGCAGTAGCTGAGACTGGGGGGGGGGTGTCGTTAAGACGGGAACTGGGGGCCGGGAGCCCTGGCCCCTTGCTCGAGCCCTTTTCCTCGCCCCCTCTGAGAGTTTCCACTGGTGACAACATTTACTGTAAGTTTGGTGCTCTGAAGAGCCTGGGCAAACCCCAAGGCAGGAGGGAGGGGCGGGTGGGCCGGCTCTGRCCTCGCCACCTAGAGGCAGGCCGGGCTTTCGGGAAGTGACAGCAGGCCCTTCCTCCCTCCCAGGCAGGGCCGCTCTCTCTAGATTTCTCCTCTGCCCACCCCAGCCCAGCCCTGCGCATCCCAGAGGGCTAGAAAGCGGCATAACCACTGCCCGCSGCCCCTGACCAGAAGACAACCACCCGTGACAAGACACTTGTCTTGGCCCTGGGAAGCCAGCCGGCTTCCTGCAAGGGCCCCAGAGGAACCCGCCCTGCCAGCCCCCTGGGGCCGCGCAGCAGCCAGACTCTTACCCAGAGCTCAGGCTGCACTTCCCTTGCGGGAGGAAGTGGCTGATCTGGGGCCCCGTCCCTCCACGTTGCTGCCTGTCAGCTGCTGCTCTTCAGTCCACTCTGACACCGCTGGGGACAGTTTTGCCCTGGAAAGGACTCGCATAGCTAAAGAGGCAGGAAAGCAGAGGTCTATCCAGAAGGTGGACGCCCAATCCCTTAAGTTGCCCGCGCAGGCTGCGAACCCAGAGCTCAGTGAGCGGGAGGAGGAAGCCTGCTTCTGGGCGTCTCTGTCAGCTGCTTTCCACATTTTGGAATTCCTTTAGGGCCACCAGGCTCCTCACAATAACTCTGAGGGGGACATAGAAAGCCTCCCGCTGTCCTTATGCCCCCTCTGGGGATGAGGCCAATCCTGGCACAAACCCTCATCACATACACTTTCCAAACGAGCTGCCAAGAAGAAGTGCTATAGAGTTCACTTAGACGGTCAAGTAGTGGATCCAAGGACCCCATCCAGGGAGGGCCTAGGGCGCGTGGCTTGGCCTGTGCTCCCACCACACCCGAAGGCTTCCTCTGTGGGACTTCAGACTACTGAGAGTACTCAGCACCCTGTGGTCTCCCAAGACAAAGCCGGATCTTGGTTCTGGTGACTCTGAAACACTRCATGAGGACCCCAAGTTGGCTCACCTGGCCAGCTTCTCTGGAAGAGAGCTATCTAGAAACCACACCTTCCTGCAGACAGAGTGAGGGCCCATGGTGGACTCCATGGGTGGTTACCAGGGATGGGGATCCGAGATCCTGGTCCTGGCTGGGTGACCCTGAGTGATTCACTTTCCCTGTTGATTCCCAGTGGCCTCAATTTGAAACAGGAAGACTGGATCAAATCAGTGAATCTCTACCTTCACCATACCCTGGGATCCCCTGGGCATTAGCAATGGGCGGACAGATGCCTCTTCAGACTTCATAGGTCTGGGGTGCAGCCTGGACATGGGCTTGGTAAAGGCTCCCCAGGGCATGTGACAGGCAGCTAATGTTGAAACCCACAGAATCAGAGGATCTGCAGGCCCCTTTTAACTCTCCAACATTTCAGATTGCCAATTTGCTACCTGAGCGTCYCAGCATACTAGTCTCTACCCAGGGAAAGGTAAGCACTACTTTTTATGGTCTCCTCTGCAGCATTGTTCTGCTCATTAGAAGTGAGGCGCTGAGTCCAACCCACATTTGAAGGAAGATGCAGGAGGCTCCCTCTCTGGGAATGATCAAGAATCACTTGTGCCAGGCATGGTGGTGCAGGCCTGTGATCCCAGCGACTAGGGAAGGCTGAGGCAAGTTGGAAGCCAGCCTCAGAAACTCAGTGAGACCGTCTCACCATAAACATTTTTCAAAAACGGCTGCAGATGTAGTTCAGTGATCGTGGGTTTAATTTCCAGTACCCCCCAAACAAAAAATTAATTAAATAAACCTGATAAAATTTGATATTTATCTGGAGGCCTCAGTCCCACGAACTTACTGATTCC